AAGTAGCGGAAAATCTTTGCTACACTAAGTCATTGCATGTCATGCAGGATGCGTTCAGTTCAGTTCAGTTTATTTCAGGAAAATATAGGTTTTGAGCCTTTGAACTCCCTATTTGTTATAAGGAAGCGAACGATATCAAAAATTTGAAAATGGAAACATCAAACAGCTACAGAGTTTCTTCAGATTGGCAAAGTTTTCGAAACCAGACAGACAAACGAATTGTTCCAAGGGTTAAGAACATTAACGTTACTAAATGTGCGGTTCGGTAGTCTGTCTGTGAATAGTTGGTGCTATCTCGGTTTCTGAGGGAGACGAATTAAATGCCAACACACATTCAACAGACATGGAACAAAAATAAAAAAAACAAACATAACTGAACGACAGGCAGTAGTATAACAACATTGATAAACTTTTCGAACGAAATGCTAGACGTCGGTCAGGCGGCATTATGAGGTTTGGTGGTACATTGGTCCAACTTGCGCTTAAAAGCCTCGACGGAGGTGGACATGAAGACATCGGTAGGCAGAGAATTCCAGGCGTTGAAACGACGAGTGTGACTAACATTTCCGCGAGACATGTAAACCCTGGCCTCCTAGGTTACAGGTTTGTTCTTCATGGGAATGTAATGGCCTAATGATGTATTACGGAAAACATATTTACCAAGTTACGTTTCGGAGGATGTCAAATACAGTAGATGTGCTAACTCAAGAAATGTTTCCGACTCGAAAAGATTGTTAAGGTAGGATTGCAATATTAATTGCAGCGCAGCATAATCACAAGATAATTCAGTTTTTTCAGGATGCCAATTTTTGAAGGAACTTCTTTCCGGCCGTATGCAAGAACTACAGTGTGAAAAGTGGATACTTAAGTTGTGTGAACTTTTCTCACTGATTTTTAAAGTCCTCGTATAATACATGCACAAGAAGATTCATTATTTTACTCATTTGGTAGAAAATTACGTCTTCTTTAAATTTTATACTTGAAGAAAGGATGTACAGTAGGTGGGCTAACTCATGAAATTTCAACTGAAATTCCGAAATTCGTCTTCATTTCAAAAAGATTAATTAAAACTAATCATCATGCAGCGTACTGTCATAATCACACAGATATCACAGAATGCAGGTTTTTGAATTGACTTATTTCCAGCTGCAGGCAACAACTACACTCTTAAAAATCACTTTTCCCGTAGTATGCATTTTTTCGTTGTTTTTCAATGCCTATAAAATTCAATTATATTTCATGGAAAACATGCATAAAAATATTAATCCCCCTGCTCATTCGGTAGGATGTTACGTCTTCTTCCAATGTCATACTCGACAGAAGGGTATAATTCGGTTTTACAATGATTTTAATTGTTGGATTTTTGAGACTGTAAAATTGCCGTTTATAAAACTCCATGTCTCTGCATTTACCAATGTGGCTGGTAATATTAACTATATGGCTCAAATCCACTGCTAGAGTTTATGAACTCCATGTGGTCTCATCGTAATACTGTAAAGGAATGTATAGTTTTCCGTATTCGGAAAATATACGACTTGTAGTTTCGAAACCCTGAATGCAATTTTAACGGCAGGTCGTGTTC